TGGAAAAATGGTAGCAAACTCCTCTAGCTTCTGGCAGACTTTGTCAGAACCTGAGAGTAAGATGCAGGCTCAGCAGAGCTGGTCCCTACAAGCAGAGTCTGAGAGCCCATCTGTGCTCAAGTTTGGAGACACAAGGACTTCACTGTGCCACCTCTAATTAGCCTGAGACAAAGTCGCAAAAATTACAAACAAAGAGTGCCTGAACTGTGATGCCTGAAGAAATGATGCTTGGAAGAGTGTTCTGGCCTCCTGTGTGTTGGGAGTAAGGTGGATGCCTGGGGGACAGGGTGCCTTATCCGTGGCACTGCGTGCAAGAGAGCAGCAGGTTCAACCCAGAACAGACACACTGAAAGAAAATACTGCATTTTAATAAACCAGGTAGCTGGCCATAATGTCTGAGACATTGAAGGCTTTTTCTTCATATGTTCAGATTCAAAATTATAAGGAGTCCCTCTGGTAAGGAAAAAATGGGCTGACTGTGTGACTCAGGGGGAAGACTAGCAGCTACGTCTCTGTCCAGGGAGAGAAAGATGTCATGTTCATCACATTTGAGGAACTGCAGTACTTCATGTCTAGTATAGTTAAATAGTCTTTTTTTTTTTTTTATCCTGCATAATTACAGCCTCAGGAAGTCTTGCATGTCCGGTTCAGAAATTAGTCCTATCAGCAGTTTTAGCTTGGGTTTTCAACTTGTTCCAGGGCATGTTCCCCAAAATCCAGTTTCTTTTAAAGTTTTTTGTGTAGAAGACTGTTTCTCTGTCATATCCAGCATGGGGAAAAGGTTTTTTTTAAATCATCTCTATGAAAATAGATTCATATTCCCTCTTTGACTGACATAGCTTGAATTTTAACAAGTACTTTTTTGTCTGCTTGTTTGCTTTTAGGTAGGACTCCTCGTAGGCTCCTCGAGACCAGCATGAGCAGACAGATAGAAGCCACGTGTGCTGATACCACACTGGTAGTTGCAGCAAAGACATCAAGAAAAGTCAGCAAAAATCAAGTTTCAAGGTTTTACATAGACTTGCTCTGCAAGAATAGGTGTTGCTGCCTCTGTCATCTTCCTTGGCTGGATGGCAGCAGGTGGTGATTCTCAGCCTGGAGCTTTGGATGAATTTGTTGCACCAGGTCTTGCCACACCATATTCAGCTTTTTGCTCCAAATGCCTCTGCTCACCCCAGGCAAGTTCCACCGCAGCAATCAGCAGGGCTCAGCCCCAGTCACTGGGCAAGTGCTCCCTGGGTGGGTATGCCTCCACCTGGGACTGAAATGAGATCCGTACAGTTCTTATCAGCTTACTGAGTTTGGGAAAATGAAGATAACCTCCAGCTCTCATTGCCCTAACAGAGAGGGAACAAGCCATCACTGACATACAGCAGCACTTCCAGAGACAGTCTGAGCTCAGATGCAAGGTAACTGCTTCAGGCCAAGCAAACAGGTATCTGTTGTGATGGGACAAGGCTGTGGCAAAACTACCTCATTTACCTTCCCTTCCCAGCTCCGGCAGAAAATGTCTCTCTGTCCTTTAGACACGTTTACCTCCTGCTCAAAGATACTGTTCTCCTGGTGCAGTTGTCAGAACCTCATGCTAAGTCATGGCTATTGAATAAAATTCCAGAGGTTGCTCTAATGACCGATTAAACACCTATAACAGAATTCATTAGGTCAGTAGATTTGCTTTTATACATGATTCTTATCAACTGTAAGTCCTTCTCCTTTTGGTAGTAATTAACAAACTGATTCTTATCAACTGTGAGTCCTTCTCCTTTTGGTAGTAATTAGCAAACTGAGATTAATCCTGTGCATCACACCTATTGGCAAATCTTGGAGTACTTTTAAACGTGCTCTACAGAGCACACTCAGAATGGCCCCTGGATTAAAGTCCCTTGGCCGCCAGTCAAAAGTCACCCCCTTGGCAAACACGACGTGAGCTTGCAGAGCATGAAACATGATGAGTTTTGCCCATGAACTGGACTATTGCAGTAGATACTTGTGCTTAGGTAGTCTGTGATGTTCAACATGACCCGGCAATGGGCACTTGCAGCCCAGAAAGCCAACTGTGACCTGGGCTACCTCAAGAGAAGTGGATGGGGACAGGGAATGGGACTGGAGAGATCCATACAGCTTTCCTCCTTCATTTTTCCATCACCTAACTCAGCAGTGAAATGGACTCGTGATGTTTCAGAAAGAGGATCCTAGACGATAAAGGACAGAAGAAAGGGAAGTGTTCTTCACTTGCAGTCTGGTCCCGGGAGGGTGGGGGTCTCAGGGAAACGAAGACAGACCTGCAGTTCTGAGAGAATGGGAGAAGTTGGGCAAATAGTGGTGTTTGTGATGACCTTCATCAGCTGCAATGGTGAGTAAATATTTCTGTGGATAAGAACAAAAATCAGAGCACTAAGGGAGTAGGGAAAGTCTTTTGAATTATATTGTCTTAATTTTTTTAAACTGGCAAGTGTGGAAAGCCTTTAGTTTATTGTATTACTAATAGCGTCTGAGAATTCACAAGGATTTTTTTTGGTATTGGATACAGCGAGGTGCTTTTAAAAGTGGAGCAAACGGGACAGTATTGGGCAAGTCAGCTCCCCTGCCCCAAGGCAAGAACAGAACACAATTGTTCGGGACTCTTGGAGAGGACCCTCTCTGATGTGCCTGCTTTCAAAACAGTCCCAGTGAAGCTGGAATATGCGTTCTACTAGAATTTAATAACGCATTCCCATCATTATGCTTGCATGGCCCTGGGAAGAAGAAGAGCTGTAATTGTGAGACCAGGTGCAGGCACATGAGATTCCCCTTGGTCTCTCCTATCGGCTGACTCCCTGGTTGCACCAGGAGAGCTTAGAAAGCAGCCTTGGCTTCAGTTCCTAAGCTTATGACTGAATATAACCTCTCTCCAGGGCATGTATGACCCTGGCAGCAGCAGAGGAAGGCTTTGGGAAACAGGAGAAAGGTGCTTTAACAAGTTGTATACAGAAGCACAGGATTGCTCCTGACATTTAGAAAAATGAGTTGAAGTACACTCCCCATTTCATCATAAAAAAACAGTTTTGCAGATGTGACGGTTTGGACTTGGCTCCCTGCCAAATGCCCGAAAGCTAGGACAGCAGCCCCCTTCCCCCCTTCTTTCTTCCCTTAGGTTAAAGGAGAAAGAAACTATAAAAATTAAAGAACCCACAATCAAGCTGCTTATATAAAAATATATCTATATTTACGCAAATTACAGTTATATACAGTTAAGATGC